AGCAGCAGCCGTCATCATAGTTCCACTAATAGTCAGCGTAATAGTAATAATAATCGTAATAGAAATGGCACGTCCCTTGTAGCCGCCAACTTGGAAAACAAGCCTCTGGCTTGATGTCATCCGCCACAGCACCCTGCGTGACCTCCTGGCCCAGAAACAAACTCGGACAAGGACAGATTGGAATCAGTGATGTGAGCATGGACCAAGAATGATTCATCAAGAAGCCTCTATCAGGTGAAGCAAGAAAGCTGACTTTTCTTTCCCATTCTTGCTATCCCCAGCAAGCATCATTACGGCTTCTTGTGAGCGGGCGCACGCGGGCGCCGTTATGTGAAAAGCTGTGCAATCATGAGTACATATGAGCACCCATGACCATGACGAGATCTTTCGAGACCTGTGACATCCTGATCCTTCAGCTGGCCTTTGGCCTAGGGCTGGGACGCCTGGTACGCAACAAGCCAAACTGAAAAGAGAGCACGGCAAAATGCACGGGTATATGCCGCAGATCCAGGAAGATCCTTGCCACCGCGGACCTTACCATTGTGGTCCTGCGGCAGATCACAAAGCATGCTTCCAAATGCTGCTGACGTTGTCTGGGAAACGCGAAGGACTTTTCGGTCTCGTAGCACCACCTCCCCGCCACCCCCCCCCCCCTCATATATCGCAAGAACTCATGAGAAATTTGAAGCCCTAGGCAAATCCAGGCAAACACGCCCTGTGTCCTTGAGAACATAAACCTTCTTCACTTTCCTCTTCTGTTGACGCTTTTCCTAAGCAAACAGACAATGTCTGCAGTAAATCGTTTGAGCATTAATTGATATTAATTGCATCACAGCATGTCCTATGTGTTGAATTGTGTTGATCATTGCTCATCCCTACGCTCTTCTGCTGAGGTCATGACCAGTCGCGCCTGGAAGCGATCTTTGCACGCCCGCGTCATGACGCGGGACAAGGCCGAAACTCCACTCAAGTTGGTTTTCAAATGCGTTGGCTTCAGCAAGTCGTGCGAGAAGAACGCCATCCTGGGTGGGCCCAGAAAGTGATTTGTAGAACGAAGCCACACCAAGCCGGTTCCATGAAAATGCAGCTCCATGGTGGACGTGCCAGCAATTCTTGCCAGTAGCTAGCTGCAGGACGTGAGGTAGACTCAGCCAAGTTTCCATGTGTTGACTATGAAGGCCCCTGTGCCCAGCGCCAGCATAAAGTTCAGCTTGAAGAGCCAGCTGTTAGCTGGCTGTTCCAAGACCCAAAACACTTTGCGCCCGTGGCTTTCCAGAAGCTGCAACCATGTAGCCTCAGGAGGACTCTGCAGTTAGCGCAGACTGCACAACACCAGGCAGCGAAGCTTCATCTACGAAGAACCCATCTGCAACTGCGAGGGGCTGTGTTCTGCCCGATCAAGTTGGATAGGCGAACTTTGAGATTGCCGACATCCCCCAGCCCATGATTTGCTTCACTGCGGCGATGCACAGAAGAGGAACTTAGCCAACACGCACGTCTCCAGCCGACCGCAGTCAAGGCAGTTAACAACAATCATGTACATAATGCAGGCAAAGGCTCAAGAAAATGTTCATTGAGCAGGGCGGGCCACCGATGACAGCGGCGCCATGAACCGTTTGAAGGCCCAAACCTGGGTTACGCAAGGGCAGCATGAATTTCTGCCCATGCATCTTACACTTCTCTTCTATGGGGTCAAGAAGCGAAGGAGGTGGAGAAAGCCTCTGCGGTGAGAGATATCCATGCTCCGCGCGTTGAACTTGATGTCGTATTGGTACGCCTGTGTTTCTGATAAATGGGCTTTCTCTAGAAGTGTTAAAGTTAAAGCTACAGCCACCCCCAGACCCCCCCCCC